CTATAATATTACAGCAATGTTGCAACATTTCAGAAATAATGTAATGGCGTTGCAACATGATAACAATGCTGCTGCAAGCTTCTGTGCTGTATAGTTGTGTGTTTGTGTATTTGTGTATATGTGTATTCCAGAACGATTCTCTCGAATTAGAGCGAGCGCAGATTCGCTCTAGATCGATACATTTTCCACGTACGCAGCCCCTCAAGACTCGTCTAAAAGGACGCGCGACCCGCTCCCGGTCGGTCGTTCCTTAACGCTTAAAGTTAGATATTATAAACTGCAATCTATAAGCTGATCCCATGTGTTATTTCTTGGTCACAACCTCGTTAAAATCTTTTCTTAACATTGCTCACGGATCGCTCTTGAAGATTTCCGACGAGAATCCCAGGGCTTGGAGGTCCCACCTAAAAATACTCAAAAGTCTGTTTGTTCAAGCTAAACTTCTTGCAACGTTCATCTTCCCTCCTTTTCTTTCTAATATGGAGAGGAAGAGATGATTGGTACAGTTGAAGAAGTACAGTTGAAAAGAACAGACTATAAATAAGAGATTGGTCACTGTTTAGACTTTTGATTGGTCCAACATATTTAGGATCACCAGATTTAGGATAGATAGATTCACAGAACAGAATGAGCCCAGGTAGCATAAAACGTTGAAACGTTGCTACAATATTCCTGAAATGTTTCATTCCACCTAGAAGATATATATGCATCTCATTCTATCTTAAATATTATACTGATATATCCATTCTATATATGACGGACAATGGCCAATCTCCTACTTGAGAATTTCTGATCCCACCTGCCAAGGCCAGATCCACGTCGTCGTCTCGCATAACGTACATCGTCGTCAGTCTGCGCCGGACGAGTCACTCATCTTCACTATCTACTACTATTCTTCCGCACTTTCAATCTAGTCTCGATCGCAGTGAAAAAGAATTATAAGCTCGCAAAATTTCATATCGCGAAGTCTCATACAGCACAGATTATTCCAGCAATTTACATCAACATTTGCAACGTTCTAGAAATATTACAATAACATTGCAACGTTGCTGCAAGCTTCTGTGCTGTATAGAGTAACTTCACCGGCGCGTCGATCCTGATTAAGGACGGCGTCGACGATGACGTGACGAGTCTCTCCATCCCGGGCGGACGCATACGTCGTAGCCGTAAAATTCTCTAACGATCTCGAACGAGATCTCTCAAAAACCCGTGGCCCCAGGAGAAGGGTTTCCATCTCCCTCGGAGGGCACCATGTTCGCTCCTGTTCACGTGTATCGCACGGAAGGGCGAACCGTCAACAACCCCCGGAATCCCTTCTTCCATCTAGATTGTCCTCGAAGTTCTCGTTTTCGAGATTATTGGCAAAATTGGAAGAGATCCGAAGGATTTCGATTTTCCAGACTTTGAAGGAACCGAGCAACGTTCACGGAGTGTGACAAGTGTCCCTGTATTCAAACGGTCCTGGATAAAGGACTCGAAAAAACGGACTATCAAGCATTAAGGGCCGAGTTCCTTGTTCTCGTCGCGTGGACAGGAAAAGGCTTCAGCCTTTCGATTTTGAAGAAACCAGCGGCAACGTTACGTCCTAGACATTTTCGACGCGAGGTAGGCTTCCTTCATCCTAGGCAGACACAGTCTCCACCATAGACTTCTTGATGATCTCACCGAAATTCTCGTCGCAGTCCTCGGACGCGCCATCGGGCTGTGGCTCGCCGGTTACCTGACTGGGCTCGATCATTTCCGCGACTTTGCTGGTCGTACCGTGAGTACCGTAAGTACCGTGATGCTGCTGCGGTTCATGCATCTCACCGTAGTACGAGTACCTGCCGCTGAGCAGTTCCGAGAAAGGCTCGAGCTTACTCTGCATTTGCTGCACCACTGTTGCATTCATCGGCTGCACCGAGTTGGTGAGATTCGTGTACTGTGCGGTACTCGTAGCGTCATCCTGCGCGAACACCGTCGCATCATAGGACGAATGCTGCTGCTGTTGCTGCTGCTGGCCCTGCGGTGGCGGTGGCTGCGCCATTTGATGTACCTGGGCGGTACAACCGCCCTGAAGAGCGGCACCCGCTGCGTCTTGGGGTCCACCACCGTAGGGACCGTAGTGCGCGAAGGCAGCCGGATTGGGCGGCGATTGGAACTGCGGCGGCGGCGGCTGGAATCGCGACGTAGATGGCAAACTCGCATACGGCGATCCATAGTCCTGGTACGAAGACTGCTGGAAATTCATGCCGCCACCACTACCGCCGCCACCACCACCGCCACCACCGCCGCCGCCGGTAGCATTGCTCTGCACGCCGGGTGAAAAGCTCTGAAAGGCCTGGCCGAATTCTGGATGCAGTTTCCGCTGCACGACGACCGATTGGCTGCTATCTACTGCATCTTCGCTCGCGTAACAATCATCCCTAATGACGTACAAGTCAAGACTGTCCTCCCGTGTGCCAGGTACTTCTGGTTGGCAGCCAGCCACTCCAGCTCCGACACCTTCGTGACTTGTCTCATAGTGTAAAGTCGTGAATCCACCTCCCCCGGGTCCCGTACCCGGAATAGCGCACACGTCACCCACAGTAGCTTCCATCCCCAGAGAACTAATGTCCCTTAGAGGACGAGCTCCCCTACCATTCTGCCCCTGATTGTCCATCACCTGATCGTGATCGCCGCTACCGTCTTCGTCACGCTGCTTTTTCTCCAGTTCTAATCGCATCAACGTGTGGATGAAATGCGTTCGCACCCGCACTGGGTTGAACTCGATTCTGCCTGTACTGTTCGCGCAACCATCTCGTGTGCAGCCGCAAGGAAAACCTGGTCGATCCACCTGAAAACCGAATTTAGTGAAAAATCGTTTCGCACTTCCCGGAACGAAGGTTTCGATTTTTTTAAAGCTAAAGAAAAATTTACTTCAAGTTTATCTCGTTAAATCCTTCAGTTTATCCAGCTTCAATCAGCTAAACTGATCTAAACGAGTAGAAGCGTGTTAACAAATGAAGATTAATTGCTGGAAGGATTTATTGCAACGGCGGTCTCTAAAAATTTCAGCAGATTAATCTCAAATTATACAACACATCGATCTCTCAAACTGGAGAAAATTAAGTTTACACGAATTTTCGTGAGTTCTAAAGAAGTAGGTCAGAACTTTTTAATTTTTCGCTTCGCGTTCAATTAAGATCAAAGTTCCTTAAATTTTATATATAAGGATCTTCTTTCTTTCTCTAAAACAAAGTGCTGTTCGGAAGAGCTAAATTATCGCCTTAGACCATTCAGTTAATTTATGATAATAGATAAAACATTAATTCCTTACATATTTCTCTCTCTTTCTCTCTCTCTCTCTCTCTCTCTCTCTCTCTCTCTGTCTATTTATATCTATCTATCTACCTGATATCTATCTAGCTGTCTATCTACCTATTATCAGTCTATCCATCTATTATCTATTTCTTTCTCTCTCTTTCTCGCTCTCTCACCTGACACTTTACGTTGGCCCTGCTACAAGGGCAGCTCTCAGGATCACAGTATCCTTTGCAACCGCATCCACAATGTTCTCTACTAGCGCGGATATCACGACATTCATCCTTCTCGACAGCATCTATCCTCCGTACGCCGGCGGCTCTAAGGAGCGCCCGGCGTTGCCACGTGGGTACCGGCTGTAGGAAGTAATAACTGTCGATGTCGAGCTCCTCGTTGTCGCTCGGCTCCTCGTCGGTGTCATCGCTCGGGTCCTCCGAGCTGGACGCCGTCTCGGTCACGCAGTTGGTCGCGCAGTTGCGTTCGGAACGCAGCTGCGCAAGACGCGCTCGGTGGATCCGTCTCTGCTCGGCTGCGTGCTCCGACAACGAGAACCTCTCCGCGTGCGTGTGCGTCGCGCTCATGCCCAGGGTGCTGCCGCCCTGAAACCGGGAGAATCGATTTCTCGTATTTCTTGTGTAAATCCATGCTCGCGTACACTGTTATTTTTTATTCACTTATTCGATTGAAGACGACCTTTCGAAATAAACATTGTAAGAAAACGGAACGTTAATAGTTATAATACTCATAATGAAAAAGGCTGATATTATACATATTTATGTATATAAAATTTATATAATATTTAAATATACAATATATTAACTTAATTTTTTTATCACCATACTTTCATTATTTCGTACTTATATGAATCCATGAATAGACTATAATAACAAAACTGAAATTAATGAGATAAGAACAATAGTAACGCATATAAACAAGAATAAGTCTCTTAAATGTATACATAATTTTTGTTTATTTTGTATCGTCCTATTTTCATGATTTCGAACTTGTATGAATTTATAAATCGACTAATGGTCGAAGTTAGAAGAAATTAATAATAAAAAATTAAAGTAAAAATTAATAATAAAACCGATACTAACTAAGAATAAGTTTTATAATAAAATACGAATGATATTATGAAAACGCTATTACAAAAGATCGTTGACAAAACTAGTTCATTTTTCCCCTGTGGCGATTATGGAATCCCTTATGATTGAAACCTACGTTAATCAATAAGAAACGTTATATATCACGCTATAGAGTTTTATTGTAAAGTAATGGCACACGAAAGAAAAGGAAATCGATAGCGTCTTACACAAATTCGATAGTGAATATTGCCATGACATTTTAGAACGATATTATAAATGACGCCAAATAAAGGAAAAAATTGAAAGAAGAGTTGTCTTTTGCGTGAACGCGATTGAAAGAAAGAGGAATCAATCGTGTCTTATATATAAATTCGATCTCTATTTCTCATGGAGTGGGTTTTATAAATGACGGCACGATATCCCGTCATAAACAACTTTGGATATTTGTTATTTGTTCTCTTGGTCCTGATATCAAATGGAGTATCTTTTAACTTAATTACATTCATGCGCATTTACATACAAGGAGAGGGGGAAGAAAAGTAATTAAACAATAATATAAATAACATGTGAAAAGATAATTGGAGCAGTACAATTGGCAATGCACGAAGCGTACAGATTGTAAAGAGAGCGATAGCGAAATAAACATGCGTATTTTCCGTATTCATACTCTTCCGGAAAAAAACGGAATGAAAATATATGAAAATTTAAATAGCGTTCAATGAACCATGTACTTCTATAAGCGTAGCGGGGCGATCAAGATACAGACGTAAAGGGAAGAAAGGGAAGACGTATCGCGAAGATAGCACAAAGGCTGTGAGCTGAAAGGAAAGATGATGGGAGGGAGAAACCGATTTTCCCACTTACCTGGGAAGGTACGCAGGTGAAACCCTGCGCCCTGGGGAAGTAATAGACCGTCACTGCGTCGAACTGAATGTTGCGCTTCTTCTTCAAAGGCTCGTCGACGTTGCCCCGCGACTCGTCACCTTCCATGCAGTCGGTCAGCCTACGCTTTAGGTTGCTCTTGGCCGGAAGCGTCCGGAAGCTCGTCAGAGGTAACTGTCCCGGCGTCCCGGGTGTCCCCGAGGACGCCGCGTAGCCATCCAACTGGTTCACTCCTGAAAGCCGCGAACGCCGTGTCACGAAACAACAAATCCCTACGACGATCGCTCCCATTCAGCATGAAACAGTTTAGTAACATTGCGGCAATGTTGCTGCAAGTTTCTCGTTTTGTATAGACCTCATGTAATACAGACAATTCCAGCAATATTGCAGCAACATTGCAACATTTCATCAATATTTCAGTAATATTGCAAACGTTGCAGCAATGTGACTGAAAGTTTTTGTACTATATAAATTCCCATACAGTATAGAGCATTCTAGCAATATTGCAACAAAGTTTAAGCGTCACTGCACAATATTTTTGGACGTTATAATGTTGCTGTAATATATTAGTTAGAATGATCTATGAGCTAAGAACGAAAAGATACGTGACGCTTTGCCTCGAATTCTCGAAAATTCTGAGACCTTGTACATTTACGATTTATTGAGAGAGAAAGCAATTTGCCAAATCCTTCTTGCGGGAATTTTGAATTCGACCTCTATCAGCAAGAGAGATTCGAGGGAGGGTAATGATTTTTTATTGAAGGGAAAGAGATTCCAGCGAGTCAATCCGTGGCGATGGGAAAATTCCTGTATAGATAACGAAATTCCTTATTCGTCCTTCGGCTCAAAGTTTTATTACGACGATATATTAAGATTTCGAGACTCAGGCGTCGAAGCAGAAGTCGACTGGTTGACATTTTGCCAAGAAAAGTGCACCCTGATTTTCATCGAGAAAACAATGTCGTGCTTTCCGCTTGTTCCAAGACACCCGGTGTATCGCACGTTGACAATCGATGCAAGGCTTATCGAGTTGTGCGCTCTCCTCGTTCTTTCGCTAGACAGCTTAGACTTGGTGCAAATGCTAGACTGAATTGGCAAAAAGAATCCTCGCGGAGTTTAAAAATTTCACGTTTTTATAAGATAAAAGTCCACAAAAATCTTCAAGCTGGCTGTACAATTTAAAATGATTATCCTTAGACTTTTACAGCTTAATAATAATCTCTTTGTTAAAAGCTTACACTATAGCTACTTTTGGCAAAATCTTTTGTAAAAGATGAATAACAAGGCAATCTTGCAGATAATTTAAACATCGAATAATTTAAATGTTGAGTAATACATAATTTAAAACTTGAATATAAAATGGGATAGATGTATACACTGTACAGCGTTTCGTAACTAATGATAGAATTAGAAAAGTCATCGAAAAAAATAATATAAAAAGTATAATATTATAAAATGAAAATGGAGTGATTTTTAAGCGGTCGTTTACAAACAACAATGCATTTACAAAATCCATTAAAATCTGTTTAAAACGTAAAACTATAATAATATATAATAATATTCTTCTTATCTAACTTTTAAATGACGATTCACGAACAACGATTAATTCACATTCATTTTAAACTATTTTTTACGTTGAGAGAAAACTTTTTAGTATTTATGACTATAATTATATGTTACCATAGTTATGATTATTATTGCTATAACGTCAGTAATAATAAGAGTATACGTATAGTTCTGTAATATACAGTGGCATCGAAAATTAACTGTAATTTACAATTCTTTTTCAACCATATTTTATATGTTTATGCCAAAAAGTGACTATAAATTATAATTAAATTGCAATAATTTTTATAGTAATAACTACAATTTGTAGTCATTTTCAGTGTCAATTAATACTATTATGTACGTATATTACTTACATTGTAGCTAGCAGTAGTAATCATAATTATCATCACATGTAATAATAGTAAAAAATATCAAAAATTTTTCTCAGCGTATTTTCTTAACAAATATTAGTTCCAAATTTCAAAAAGCATATTAAAGTGATTTGCAACCAGAACTTCATGATTAATTTAATAATTCTAGATACTTCCATCGAAATCAATAAGAAATCAGTAGAGAAAAAATATTGTGCTCAAATTGTGCACTGAGAGAAAAATTTGATATTCGTGATTATAATTACATGTTCAAAGAATGGCAATTAAAGCTCCATTTTTATCGCGATTACTGCCATAATATTCGTAATAATTATTATATTTATAGGTCTACTAGGAAGATATATGACTTGCATCAGAAAAACGATCATAAATTATAATTAAACTATCATTTTTTTCTCTCAGTGTGATAAGAACCGAAAAGAAAAAATGCTTCTTACCTTTCTCCTTATCAGAAAGAATGTCATCCGGCAGTCTGTCGAGGAAAGAGGTTTCTGAATCACTTTCCGGTGCAGGAGCCGGTCCTGGGTCACCAGGGATCTCGTTCCCCAGACCAGAATCGCTCCCGTCGGACCTGACCTCGTCCCTGGCTCCGGTCGCCAAGGCCAGGCTCTCGGCGGAGTCCTCCGTGTACGCTTCCGGTCGGTCGGCCTCCAATCTCGTCATGATCGGCGCCATCGTCTCCACGCAGCACAAAGTGACTCCCTCGGAGCACGGTAGTTGATCGGGCGCCATATCGACGTCACGCAATTCGTGACGGATGCTGGTGATGGGCGACACCTCCGAACTGTCGGAGCCGGTCTCCGTTTCCGTCTCGGTGTCGACGCCCTCGGCAACATCCACCGATACTTCCGGCGTCTCTTCCGGCGAACTCGGCATCGTCTCCGACGAGTCCAGCTCGTTGGACACGCGGCTGCCCTCGACCGTGGGCAACGAACTCGCCAGCACCACCTCTTCATCCTCCTCGAGTTTACCAATCACGGCGACAGGCGCGGATTCGTCGTCCTTCTCGATCTCCCTTAAAGCTCCACTCTCCTCGGCGTTTTCCGACTGCGATGGATGATCCGTGATCTGGCTCATTCGCTCCAGTACCACTTTACACTTCTTCAGGACCCTTCCACTATCTGGACTCTCCACTATCTGAGCACTCTCTATCGGCTCATATTTTTTCGATCTGGTCATTGGACTGGAATTATTAGTGGGGCTCTGCCATCGTTGCTTCTTTGAATTCTTCTCCGAAGTCTCCGAAGTCGCTTTGAACGAATCACGCTCCTCCTCGACGAAATTCCTTTTTCCATTGGAACAAGATGAGCTCTCCCCGACAACGTAATTCCATATATTGTCGTCGACGTTTGTATCTAGGGCACTTTTCTTTTTTAAATCTTCATTTTCGATGCGATTCAGAACGATACTTAAATTTCGACAGATGGGACTCGATGGTACCGTGGGACTCATTGCTGCCTCGTCGACATGTTTTTTAATCGGCGTGCAAGACTCGCTTCTAGCGTTTGTGGCCACGTTCGCATCTTTGATGTCGTCTTGACAGGATTCTGTCGTTCCGTCCAAATTGTCGCTTTTCGAGAATATCGGAGAAGCCACGTCGACGCCGAACGTCGTAATTTCGCTCTCGTTGTCGTACTCTAACTTTCTGCTCACGCAGCTCAACGTCGCCTCGACGTCGCCGCTGCTCGTGCATTCCGAAGGATCCGAGCCAATCTTACCGATCGTTTCCTTCTCCTCCTTCTTCTCCTCACCCGCATCCTGTTTCTCGCGATTCTGATCGACGTCCTGATTTCTGGAATCATTCGGTATAAATGATCCTGCAGAGGTCCTCGGCGTTATTCTGCCGTCGAGCTCGTCCCCGAAGAGACAGGACTCTGAGGTTAGCGATACTTCACCCAGGGTCCTTTCTCTCAGGCTCACCAACACCGGCGACAGTCTCCTGACGTCGTTCCTCAGTTGGGTCGCCTGCTCCTCCGAGATCTCGATGCCGATCCTCTTGATCTCCGCGCCGATCGGCAGGAAATCACTCGCGGCCGGTCTCTTCCTGGAAATGTCTGGCGATACGGACTTCTCGATCCCATTCTTCCACAATCCCGAGGACTCGTCGATATCGCGATTTTCAGAATCAGGCATTCTTGGCGATCCTTCAAGTTCCTGAAGAGTGTCCTCCGTCGATTTCGCACCAATTTCGTCTTTCTGATTTTCCTCATTGATTTTCTTGCCTATTGTTAAATCCATATTCGCTTCTTTTTCTTCTTTTTCTTCTTTTTGCTCCTCAACTTGACTCTTCACCGGACTCGCTTCCGGTTTATCACTTGATTGTCTCGCTTCGAATTCTTCGTCCTCTGGTTTCTCGTCCAATCTCTCGCACACCATCACCAAATCTTTACACGATTCCCGCACGACGGATGGACACGTCGCGTAGTCGTTGTCGCCGGCATCCGTTGTTGTCGTCGTTGACGTTATTGATATCATCCCGCCTGGCGACGGTGCGCCTTCTGCCTCGGCCTCCACTGAGGTGGAATCCTCTTGGGCCTCAACGAAACAGTCCTGACGGGCCGAAGGCAATTCCATCTCGGGTGTTTCTGCCATCTGCAAGCACAAAGTTTAGTTGGAAATTAAAAGACAATTCTATATTCCTGGTGAAGAAATAATCGATTAGGAGCTCCGTGCGGTATTTAAAGTGACGTAAAATTATCGATGAGTTAGTAATCTATATATGTGGAATGAAATAGAAATGTAAAGTGGAAATACTAAAATCATGTAAATCTCAAGATGAAAAAGTAGTTATTATTTTACATACATGTATAATATATATATAAAATATATAATATTATATGTATATTTTTTATACAATATTGTATACATATCTCTATGTATAAATAAATATATTAACGCTACTAGGAAAAAGTATTATACAAATATTAAATAAACTATAAATACTCAAGTCCTGCGAAACCAAAATAAAAACACTGAAACGAAGGTTTATATACAAATCAGAGTGAAATGAAACAGCGGAGTAAAATGAAGAGATACCGAAATAACCAACGTAGAATACGGATTAATTGGGTCGTTACGTCCACCGCGGGAACGACTTCTTGCCGTCCCTCACTGGCGAGGCAGATGATTTCACCAGTATTATAATCAACGATCATTGAGCTCTACCTTTTTCACGAAAATAATATAAGCAAGCTGGAGAGGACGAGGAAATCAATAATCCGCGCACTGATATCGCGCGCACCGTTGCTAAACCCAGAAGAGAATAAAAGCGAGCGAGAGAGGAGAGAAAGAGAGGAAGAGAAAGAGAGAGAGAGAGAACAGGAAGAGGACATCGATGCGGGAAAAAAAAT